TGGCAGGATGTCCCCCCAGATAACTGCACTGCACAGATTAGTGTCACTTCATGAGGGGTACAGGGTGCTGGGAGGGGCCGGGGTGCAAGACACAAATAGGTTTAAGGTACAATACTTCGGTAAAAGTCACAGGCGAGAGATCACTTGGTGGGTCAAAGGACCCCAATGTCCATGAAAGAATACCTGTCCATTCCAACCTGAACAGACATGCATATCATACCACTTTTCCCTATCATACCCTATCACACCACTTTTCCCTTGACGTAGATTTGAATTCAAAATGTAGATTTTGCTCCTATTAGAATTGCAGGATCTGCCTCTAGAATGTGTAGATGTGGAATAAATGTAAGGTGGCATGCAATAAGGGAATACGATTTGGAATGTGGAAATATGTAGATGTGATTGAAGGGGAACATCACATAAATGGTGGCATATACGAATGGGATCTAACGCTGCTTCGAACAGCTGCATTTCAGTCCAAAGAATGAAAGCTCGAAACACAAGTGGCAAACACCATGAGGGCATGCTGTCAGACCTAGGGCCATCAGCACAAATCTGGCTCTCAATCCATGACCAGCAGATCCTGGCTTTGTTAAGGGATGCAACTCTGCACTATAGATGAACAATCTGACCATGTGTAGATATTGGATGAATGAACACATGGATGGGAAATATACATGTGTAGACTTTGAATATGTAAACATATTAAGGGAACATGCTGTCATGGAATACGTGAACATGCAGATATGGAATAAGTGAACATGCAGATATGAAATAAGTGAGAATGCACATGTGGAACAAGTGAACCTGCAGATGTTGAATAAGTGAACATGTAGAAGTGGAATCATGGATCAGTGTTAAGGAATAAACAGTTCAAACAATGTTCATTTCAGTGTCCACTCTTTCATGATTTGACAACAATAATCTTTTTTAAGCAAGACCAGAACAAAAAAGAAATAGATGAAAGAAGCCCCATTTGAAAGCTATTTAGTATCAGGTTACCATTCACCAGGGTTTGGATCAGTATCTCCATTTGAAAATGCAGAACATATTCGTATCCCTGAAGCTTGGTTATTTTTTCACCTAAGATAGATGCATCCTACCATTTTTTTCTGGTCAGTGTTTACATGTTTTCTCCCGGTTATATGTTCTCTCATTCAGTGGACATCCATCTTCCAAAGCCATACCTAAAGCGGCCACATCTTCGCCTCGATTCAAGTGAAACTCAATTGAGCACTTAAGAATTTGGGTCACCAACTTCAAAGAATCATTTGCCATCTTGGAAAACAACCGTGCACTCTGTTGATCTTGTACTGCTCCTGTTTTAATGAAACTCAATTGATATTTCCTTGTGCGTCCTATCACCAAGGGAGTCAAGGTCCGATTACATGGTCCTTCCTAAGGGAAATGATAAACATTTCCTACTATTTCCCTTTGGATAAAACTTGACTGCAACTTCCATTAAGAGAACCGATATCGCTGGTCTAGCAGGTCACGGAGCCATCTGTATTAGTATCACTTACTGTGGATGTTTTTATGAAGATCATCGGATTAGGTCAATCAGTTCCAGAAATGACTTTGCAGTATAAATCAAAACGTTGGGCTATTCCGTTTAAATATTTGTAAAGGGTCTCTTCATCTAAGAAAGAACCTGACAGAAAATAGTAGTAAAAAGATCAATAACATAGTCCTGAATATTTATGTGATGATTGAAATCCATGTACCAAACACAGTCTACATGCTTTGTGTGAATCACATCCACTGACTGCTAATGTACACTATTTCTTATAGTTTTTGTTGGTAAAAGATGAAGAAAGTATGATTTTAAAAAAGGAATAATTTACTGGGTTGTAATGTGAAAGTGGAAGTAATGTCTGATAGAAGTATGGTTTTGCTGAAGGGCTGTTTCATAGAAGAAATATATTATTTATTTATATTGTTTATTTGTGAAGAAACATGTACTGGGGCCCATTTCACTGTGCAACTGGAGTGCTATAACTGTATTAGTCTGTATTAAGGCATAGGAGTCTCGATGGCTTTAGAGGAAAGATTGGTTTGTGGACCAGGCTCAACTGTACAAAGCAATCTTAACGCTAAGACTAAGTCTGTGTTATGGTAGAAGAGTTAGGATGGTCTCAATGCTAAGACTGCTTTGTGCAAGTGTAAAAATGCTAAACATTTTGTGCCAATCGTAAGAATGCAATTGTCATCAGAAATGTGATAATGTCTTTTATAACTACAATAATTTATGATGCGACTCAATGGCTGTAAAAATAATGTCAAGGAATCATAATCCCTCCAAATGAATTCAGTTCTATGTTATTGTGGGTTAGGACATATTGTAAAGTCTTCTGAAATGTCTGTTTATAATATTCATGTTAACAGATTGGAATGCAGGTTTTTCTAAATCCACAATCGTGATGAGGACATCGAAAGAGCAGCAATTTAAGGAAATCCAAAATAAAACCCAAACTCAAATAAAAACATAATCAAACATAAAGTTAAAAATAATCTCGGACCTGGGTGAGTGTATGACACAGCTGTTACAGTAACGAGAGTGGTAGATGATTGATCATGTCCCCCAGTACACTGACAGTGGGACTAGCGGAGGGTGGGGCTACCATAGGGATTACCAGCCAGGCTGGGATGGTCAGTAATGGCGGTTTAGTGCACGGGTAACATTTGCCGGACACCCCTCTGCATAACAATCAGGCAGCCTGACAGCCCTTGGGATAATTACTGTTGTTTAATTGAGGCTCAGTTGAGCTTGGTAGGGACAACCTGGGTCCAGGGAGTCTGGAGAAACTGCGACTAATCAGGACATTAACGTAAAAAATATCCTATTAATGGCGACATTTTGTACCAATTTTTTTTGTAATGCTGTAGAAAGCAAATATTTTGCCACACTTAACATAGGGATTATTATACAAATGCTGAAAGAAAGGTTGAGTCATGTTTTGTTTCGTAGTTTAATAAAGAAACGAGATTATTTTTTGGGTTGAATTATTTAACAAAGGTCTTGGTTATGAGAATAAAATATGGAGGATCTGCTTTTAGTTTTGCATTAAAAAATTGATGTGCTGATAATTGGCGGTAGAGGCTGTGTGTGAGAAGCACTTGGGTGAGAGTCGGGCTATGGCGTAATTGGTCATCTTGATACCGACGACTGGTTACACCACTGCCTGGTGGCTTGCCCAATGCCGCCCGCTCACTCGCTCGCCGGCTCTTCTCGGCCAACTGATCGGTAATATTGATCGTGCATGTGAGCTGTACATCGAGTGTGTTGTGTAACTCTATCACCCTGACATGCTTGCGGCCATCGCTGGCTCCTTCCCCTTCCCCTCTTGCCATTCTCTCCTCGTCCTTTTTCTCGCGATGACTTCGGAATACTGTTTGTTTGCTGACCTTGTCGTGCAAAAAAACAAAATCACCTTTGGTATTCCCTCGACTGCAGCCATTGTGCCCAGTGACAGTTCTGTCGTTTGACACACTTGGTGAAATACATGTTGCCATCACCCATCTCTCATTGCGAGGGCGCTGACTGTGTCACTGCGATGGCGGTTCAAAGTGCATGTGGGGGATAATTGTCTGTAATAATGGTCTTGTGACCTCATTGGCTATTGATAGGTCTATTATCTGCAGGCAAGGCGCAATAATAAAGGGTATGCAGTGTATTGCAATTACCTGCACCGTAATGGGAACGAAAATGCAATGATATATATGTTAACAGTGTAGACTCAATTAGCCCAGTAGTGAAGCTGTATACTTATACATAAATACAACTGTTTCTCTAAACAAGCTCGGCTGAAAGAAAACGTAAGGTTTATTTAATATTTGTTCAAGTTGATCTCCTTGAGCAAATACTATAAAGCAATATGATTACCCCATTAAGTGATGCGAGCAGACGGCCAGATTATGATCAGGCAGTGAGTTGTGTGGCAACTGGGAGAGGCAGAGTTACCTCCCTTATTCCCTCCTGGCTGAACAAGGCAACTGTTTGTCGCATGATAAGGAAAGGGCATGTTTCTGGACCCCCGTGACCTACCACTGAATCAGTCAGTGTCTCTGACAGAATGCCATGGCATTATAGTAGTTCTATTATTTTTACCTGGTTAAAGCTTTTTTTGAAGAGAAACTTGATGAAAGTAAGAGGCACAAAAGACTGACAATGTTGTGGCCTTGGGGCGAAGCTTTCATGTTCTCAGGAGTCCATCTTTCAAAGGCTAATACCAAAATTGATACGTTAGACTCGAGTATCTTTTAATAAGCATCATTTATTGGATTCCGTCCTGCTTCCTATTGCTTCATTTCAGCAGAAATATGATCTTATGGCAAGGAGTTTTTAAATGAAATTCAAACACGCTTGTTTCAACTTGAAAGATATAGACGATACAGGCAGCAGTTGCTGTACAAAGCAAATGATTACCTACTGCTCGTTCACTGCTAATATGCTACACTGTAATTATCTCTGTTTTCATTCAGTCACAAAAAATCTAATTGCTTTTGTCATGTTTGTTTTTTCGTTTCATCTCCTATTTTCCATGTAATGCTGGGGTAATGAGTTTAACGGGGTAGATTTCTAAATTGATCCAATGTTTGAAGAATAGACTCAAGTTAAACCAGCCCCTAGTCGCACATGAGTAATAAAACATTGTCATAAAACATTGCCGGAATGCGTGGACCAGTAACCATGTCGCAGACGTGCGGTGCCGAAAACTCGAGTTGGTTAAGTGATCACCAGGTGGTGACTCTGCACTATGGTGGTATAATAACCCATATTAGAGTCCTGGAAAAGTGCTACCATTTGTGTATCCAAATACTTCAATCTTTTTTCTCCCGAATTCGTCATGATTAATTATTTTCGTATTATGAAATGATATTGTGAAATGATGTTGTGCTGCTCGCACCACATGTGGTTTCTGGTTTTCTAATTCATAAAAACACCATTTGTACCTTGCTGTGATTCCGGGATCTTTAATTGTTCTTGTTTGTTATTTCAGACAAGTCAGCAGCTCAGCCCCCTGGCCTGGAACAAGGGTCCCTTGGGTTCATTATGCCTCCCTATTATACTAACGGTGCTTCGATGGTAAGTCCAACCAATATTTGCCCTTCTCCACAGATTCAAGTCACATACAACACTTCGTTTGTGTCTCCTGCTATTTTTTGTTAATAAAATCACGTTTTTGAACGTTTAATTTTTTTCAGGTTGTAAGAAATATCCACTGCTGTATTTGATTGGATATTTTTTTGTCGTGAATCACTGCTAAGTGTTGAAAAAAACCTATTTAAAATGCCACTGGAACCAGTAAAGTGTTACTCAACATTCTATATGACATTAAAATTTAACTCTACATTCTGTATGGCATTAAAATTTTGCTCCAATTACTAAGTGACATCAATTAGTCATTTGTGCAGGAAAATAGATGTGAAGTGAGTTGAATTCACGATTCTTAGCATGAAGAATTCATGTGAAGGTGTTGTATGTGACTCGGCTCGAAGCAGTCCATGAATCACTATCAGTTAGCATGACACCTTTAGAAGCTGCCTTGTTTACGGTAAGTGATATTCCCATGTTATTGACGACTACAGGAATCATCAGTGCTTTTATATGTTTAGTGAAGGATTAGAGAAAATACTACTGTTCTGACAACATATCGTACCAAGCTATCCTTTATACCACAGCAATCACTTCTGATAAGTTGTCAGGTGAACGTTTTTAATGTGGATACCAGCAAAACCTTTACGCTAAAACTGATATAGACTTTCGAAGTTTTAAGTGACACGGGACAATCGTACCCACTTGAGTTTATTGAGTTTCGCGCTGTATGAAATTCTAGAAACTATGTGTCGTGGAGCATGCGTGTATTTTTCACATGCTAGCAGCTTCGGTAATGTTACTCAGCATGTCCCATGGCTTAAGAGCTCTCCAACAATGGGCAAAAGAGGCTCTCATCTCACTGAAAATAATCAATAACTAAAATTTAGGAAAGAAATGCTGACCCAAATGGAGACTTGGTTAATCATTTGAAGAAAACCACATCTTTTGTGCAAGTGGCCTGAAGTCTTGAGAACAGAAATCAATATCACTCGGCTAGTGTTTTGAGGGAAGAGATCTGAAGAAGAGAACGACTGGCCATTCCTCCATCTTATCAGTAGCCTTGCATGACGGGGGATGTATTGTCTTGTGGGGTAGAGATGTACACCACCCTAGACCCATCGCTTTGTACGCTGCCCTGACACCATCGTATTGTGTGTTACCATGACGCTGCCATATTGTACGTTATCCTGATGCCATCACATTGTATGTCATCCAACGCTATGACATCGTAGAAGTACAACTGGCTATGTTATCAGTGGCCGTATATGACTTTGGGTGTGTGTGAGTGGTGGTGTGGTCTGTGTGAGTGGTGGTGGGTGGGTGCTATATTTGTTCACCACCCTGACACCACCACATGTAACATGACCCTAACAATGGGCATCAGCTCAACACCATCACATTATACACATTTTACACCACCCAGTCCTCGTCCAGCCTCATGGCATGTTTTTCTCATGGAGTATTCTTGTCCATGTTCTTGTGCCTCCCCTGGGGCCAGCTCTTACCCACCCACAAATATTAATATGTCCAGTGCCAAATGCTGCAAGTAGTTACGAGGCAGCGATGTGGAGGGTCTGTGGCGCCATGTTACTTCATACAGTGTTTAGTCTCTGTCACCAGTCCTTGTCTGTTTACTCAGGAGAGTCACCATCAGGGTTGTTATTGTCTGGCTGCTACATAATTGTTACAAAGTTCAGAATTAACAAATAAGTATAAATAATGCAGGGGAAACATTTTTAAAGCAATCAAGCAAATACTAAGATAGGTTAACTTTCAAAAGTTCGATATTTATTCTTGCCTGAAGGATGCTGTAAACATGGGCTAGGCAGATTGCTTCAGGTGGGTAGGCTAATACGGTGTAGGCGTCCTGTAAAACTAGACATTACAGTGGGTACTTGGTTGGTAATCATCCAAGGGGCATCAATTCATCTAAGACCCATCCACAGGACATCATTTTGTCTTCCATCCATCGTATTCCGTCTTCCAGGGAATCATTCCTTGTTCCAGCCATCGTAAGGACATCATTCCTTCTTCAATCCATTGTAAAGGAATCATTCCTTCTCTGACCATCCATCGTATGGGAATCGTTCCATCTTCCAGCCGTACAAGGGACACTTCCATTTCCACATCCAAGGGGCGTCATTCCATTGGCCACCCATCCAAGGGGCATCATTCCATTGCCCATCCATCCAAGGGGCATCATTCCATTGCCCATCCATCCAAGGGGCATCATTCCATTGCCCATCCATCCAAGGGGCATCATTCCATTGCCCATCCATCCAAGGGGCATCATTCCATTGCCCATCCATCCAAGGGGCATCATTCCATTGCCCATCCATCCAAGGGGCATCATTCCATTGGCCACCCATCCAAGGGGCGTCATTCCATTGGCCACCCATCCAAGGGGCGTCATTCCATTGCCCATCCATGCAAGGGGCGTCATTCCATTGCCAATCCATCCAAGGGGCATCATTCCATTGCCCATCCATCCAAGGGGCATTATTCCATTGGCCACCTATCCAAGGGGCATCATTCATTGGCCACCCGTCCAAGGGGCATCATTCCATTGCCCATCCATCCAAGGGGCATCATTCCATTGCCCATCCATCCAAGGGGCATCATTCCATTGCCCATCCATCCAAGGGGCATCATCCATTGGCCACCCATCCAAGGGGCATCATTCCATTGCCCATCCATCCAAGGGGCATCATTCCATTGCCCATCCATCCAAGGGGCATCATTCCATTGCCCACCCATCCAAGGGGCATCATTCATTGCCCATCCATGCAAGGGGCATCATTCATTGGCCACATCCAAGGGCATCATTCCATTGCCCATCCATGCAAGGGGCATCATTCCATTGCCACCCATCCAAGGGCATCATTCATTGCCCACCCATCCAAGGGGCATCATTCCATTGCCCATCCATCCAAGGGGCATCATTCCATTGGCCACCCATCCAAGGGGCATCATTCATTGCCCATCCATCCAAGGGGCATCATTCCATTGCCCATCCATCCAAGGGGCATCATTCCATTGGCCACCCATCCAAGGGGCATCATTCATTGGCCACATCCAAGGGGCATCATTCCATTGCCCATCCATGCAAGGGGCATCATTCCATTGGCCACCCATCCAAGGGGCATCATTCATTGCCCACCCATCCAAGGGGCATCATTCCATTGCCCATCCATGCAAGGGGCATCATTCCATTGGCCACCCATCCAAGGGGCATCATTCATTGGCCACATCCAAGGGGCATCATTCCATTGCCCATCCATCCAAGGGGCATCTTTCAATGTCAAATTTAAAGGGCATCATTCCATTGGCCACCCATCCAAGGGACATCTTTCAATGCCATCACAACACCCAATCCATTCCCTGTTCAGATATCTGGTGCCATATTATCCTTGCTACTGTTAAAAAATGATTTTGTGATAACAGCATTCTGATTCCTTAATATGATTTTTCGTGGAGGATTATGGCAATTTTACTGATTTCAGTGTTCAAATTTTTAATCAAATTCTAGAAGATTACAGCTATGAGTTCAGGCTCTTTTTTACACCTAGCCCAGCTTGTTTTCGTGTCTTGACTTGGAGAACAGTGTAAGGGGGGGTAACTGCTGTCCAGCTCAGGTGGTCGTTGCAAAACAGAACACTTTCCCTAAAAACATTGTTTTTTAAAATCATAATGTGATCATTTTTGCCAGCTGATACTTGAGGCACGGTTATGCCATTAGATGTGTGTTTTCTCCAGAATATCTTAAATGTGATGTCTTTCATAAAGAGTAATTTTGTAAAAGCACCTTTATCCCCATAAAACACAGCCCAATTATGAAATCTTTTTCAACAGTGATGCATAACAAATTCTTTAAATATATTTGATTGTTTTTATTGACACTAATCCAATATTGTCCGAAGCAGATGACTGGAATCAGGAACCTGACACCAGTCATTCAATAAAACAGCAAGGTTACAACCAGTGAATCGGCTCACAAACACAGCAACGCTGCAAGTGCAGCTATTTAGTGTTTGTGTTTATTGAAGGCCTGACATCTGGAATCAGGGTTCCAGTCTCGTCCGTGGGCCTGGTCAGCCTATTGGCTATTGATCCGGACAAGCTCAATAGCCGGAGTCATTCACTGGGCATGCTTTGTTTGTTCTCCTGGTGCACGTTCATTGAACCTTCCTTCCAACTGCCTTCAATATTGGTAATGACCATACAATCCTTGCTGAGGTATTAACACGTAAGCCAGTTAGTGGGCTCTATGGGCAGTTAACACACTTGCAGTCTAAAATTAAATTGTTTGTATCCTGTGGCCCTGATGTTTGGGTATACTGGTATTGACACGGATGATTATTCGTGAGATGATGTCTCGACAAGCTGTGAAGCTGGGATTAATATTCTCGAACATGTTGTTATATGACAAGCGGTACTTTTACTCCTGTGTAAGATGGTGTCAGAGCTGTTTATGCATGTTACGGACTAGGAGAGAGTAATAAAAGTATAGCAGACTGAATAAGAACCTAAATCTGGGTCATTTTTTTCTGCTGTGTACTTTCAGGAGGGGAATAAAAACAAACAATAAATCTTTGGCAAATGAGGAGAGAAGGTCTTCCGAGAGAAATATGGCTTGATTTTTTTTGTCTTTTTGTAGTGAAATAGGAAAACAAGTTAATGACAGTGTAGGGATGACAAAGGTTGGTTAGGTTTCCAGAGCTAATTCCAGTGTGTTGAACCTGTCCTCACTGTGTGACAATGCTGACTGTGGATGTGGGTCTTCCCTACCTCTCCCCAGCTCCCATCTTCATACACTACAACACCAGGACACTGGCTCCGCCTATGGGCAACCTGCAAAAACTGGATTTGACAGAAATTATAGGTCTTCTAAAGCTATTTGGGGATTAACATTTTTTGCGAGGAAAAGTCAAGATGTTGAGATCCTACTTGCTCTTTTTTTTTACGGGTAAAAAAAAATAAATTATCCT